ACACACGAGAGGAACATCAGAAGACACACGAGAGGAACATCAGAAGAGTATAAATATAGAGTTCATTATTAAAGTCATAATCCTGACTGAAAGCAACAGTTTAAACTGAACAGCTGGTAATAAATCACTGTGTTTACACGAGCAGCTGAAAGAATAAGAATAAACAGAACACATATTTAATTATAGTCAGATGTATTGTCTCTATTACCAGCTGGTCTTCCTTCATTTGTCAGTTTAAACTGTTACTTTATATTCTATAAATTTGTGTCATATTATAGTAATAATAAGGAACGTTAGCATCACCGGCTAACGTTTGGAGGTTCACGGTCTGTTAATTATAACGTTATCATGACGTGTTCACGTTAATATAAATAGATATGAGAGATGAATTATGAGCTGTTTACCTTCCTAACACGAGCTCTAAGAACATTATTATACAGCATTAAACATAATAATGAAGAAATTAGTTTTAATCCATAAAAATAATATATTTTTATTTCCATTTCATTTGAATTGATTGTTTTTATGTAATAACACGATAGACGACTAACAAAATAAAAGCAGAACATTTAGAAGTTTAAACTGACTTCAGGACGATTTTAAAATAACTTTTTTATAAAAGTTGGTGCAGTCTGGTTCTGGTCTAGCTGAGTCTGGTTCAGGTCCGGCTCAGACTAGTTTAGTCTGGTGCAGTCTGGTTCTGGTCTGGTTCAGGTCTAGCTCAGTCTAGTTCAGGTCTGGTTCAGGTCTGGTTCAGTCTAGTTCTGGTCTAGTTCTGGTCCGGTTCTAGTCCGGTTCTGGTCCGGTTCAGGTCTGGTTGGTAGTGTTCTTACAGGGATTCCCTGCAGCTGTGGTTTGTCCAGCAGGTTGTGGAGTTCGTTCTTGGAGGCTTCGATCTTCTCTGGGTCGGCTGCGTCCACCATGTAGCTACAACGAGACGAACGTGACAAAATATTAGAAAACACTCATTCAGAAATAAACAAGAACCGATGTTATCAGAACTGACTAACTGACACACGTCACCAGGAACGCATTTTGATTGCCTCTAAACGGCTCTCAACATGGCGGCAGCGAGCCGGACGGCTAGTAGCTAACAGCGCACACAAGAGCTGACTGACAATCATTGGAGCAACACGTTGCCTTCAGTGTTGCTTTGTGTTCAGTGATCAACAAGAAGCTGTTGATGCCTTTTATTGCAGAAACACACACAAACGTACAGAAGTCTGTTCTAGATCGTTCTGGAGGTCCAGTTCTTTGAGGCTTTCTGATCTCATGAATTGGACTAAAGACCAAATGGAGGTTGTAGTAAATCACTTCCACTCCATCAGCTGTGACCCGTTTACCTGTCTCACTGCATTCTGCTGCTCTTGTAGGATTCTATGACGGCATTCAGCATCATTTGACCAAACGCTTGCCAACAAAACAATTAAACATGAGATTGAATGCTGTTAACGTCTGTTTAAACAGAAGGACTTGCGGGACTTTTCTCTGTCTCTCTCGTCTCATTAATGTCTTGCTGTCACGTTTGGACCCGGCTGAGACGTCCAGCGGCCCGTTTAAGGAGGCGTGAACCACAGTTTAGGAAACGAGGACTTACACGATGGCGCTGACTCCTCGACAGTAACGCTCCCACATGCTCCTGAACCGAGGCTGACCGCCGATGTCCCAAAGCTACAGACAGAAGGAGACGATGGTGTTAGTGAGAAGACTTCACTGAGATCAACAAAACACATAAAGAGAATAAACTGTCTTTTCTATCTTTAATTCATACCTATAAATATGTTGCATTTCACTGATTAATCTTAACAGCAAAATAAAGGGTAAACTAAGTAGAAAAATGGAAACAAAGTGAGAACTACTCCGTCAGGTCGAGACGACTAAACTGTGCAGACAGGCAGCGGAGGAATGGAACTACCAACCTTGATGGTGACGTTGCCCTTAGTGATCTTCCTCATGTTGAATCCAACTGTAGGAATCATGTCTTCACTGAACTGTCCAGACTGAAACACACACACACACACACACACACACACACACACACACACACACACA